CAGGTGGCCATGCTCGAGAGAACCCGGGGAAATGCTTCCAGGTGTTGCCTCTGCTCCTGACGAGTTTCCCGTCTCAGCCCCAGGTCAGGAGCAACCTGACTTAACCGGTAAGTCCTTACCTAACAGGCGAAGATGACTTTTAAAGTTTTTCAGCCTCTGCTACAGGGTAACAGGTGAAGCTGAATTTTCAAATGTGTCAACCTCGGGTATGGGACCAGCAACAGCTAATGGGGTGCCTCTGTGAGAATGAGATGAAAGGCACCCCTTCTGAGATGAAGCCGGACCAAGGGAGGCTCCTAGCCAAATGCGAAGCCCTGCCTTTGTGCAAAGGCAGAGGAGTATGTCTGGACACCAGGGGGCACAGCTTGGTCAGGGCAGAGCACAGGCTGGATCTAAGCACCCCTCGTCTGCTCTGTCCAGCACCCACCTGCACTGCCCAGACCGTCCCCCCTTTCCCAAGAGGGCAGCTTTGCTGTCCTGTGAGGAGGCAGAGACAGAGAGTAAACTTAGGGTCTTTGTTCGGTAAAAAAAAAATCACTCTGAGCTACACAAATGGAAAGTGAGCAGGCATCCATGGTTCCTGGCCTAGGGCAGCTCCAGCCCAGCTGTGAATGGGGCCCAGGAGCCCCTGGGGACTCAGCCACCCCAGCAGAGCATTAGGCTTTGGAGAACAATAGCTGAGCAGGCAAACACTGGCCCTGAAGAGTTATATCCGTGGAGGGAAATGAAAGGTGCTCTGAGAGCACAGGCAAGGTGTAGACAAGCAAGGACTTCCCCTAGGCGGACAGGAGCCAACTCCAGAGCCAGTCGCAGATAGCAGCATTTTGTGCCTGCGGCCAGACAGCTGTGGGTGTGGACTATGGACTGAAAGAGAGTTTCTCACTCTCTCCACTGAACACACCAGGGATCAAAGACTCCAGACAAAGATACTAGATTTGCCGTTACCTATACGCCTACATGCAACAGGGCATCTGGCACAGCACCTGGCATAGAGAACTTGCCGCAAGCTTCCAGAAGGAATATGCCCTGGGTTGTATCCTACGGTTCTTTAGTCACTAAACATTGGGCTTATCAGAAGAGCACGTCGCAACCCACGGACAATGTTGAAGTCACTAATGCAGGGAAACATGGGTCTGAAAGTTAAGAGAACACCAGTCCATATACCATGAAAAGCTTATTTCAGGGTTTTATTTTTTTTAAATGGGTAAAATATCACTCCATTTACAAAGGAATGCCAGATTTTAAATATCCAGAGCTTTTGTTGAATTCCAGAACCATGAGCTCAAAAACCACAAAGCAAAATCAATCTGGATTTTTCTAAAGCAAAAGCCTCAGTTTTTATAAGCTCAATAAAAGGGCTTAAGTATCAATTCTGTTATTTAAGTTATGGTTTTTAAATGTACTTATTTGAATATATTTGGGTTTCCTCACATTTTATATGGATTTTAAAATATAAAACTAGTTTTTTGTTGACAACACAATGCATTTTTATCATGTGAAGAAAAATAACTGCACAAATCACAAGTTAAATAGAAGCTCCTGAAGTCTGAGATGCTTTTCTTGACAAAAATCTAGTAGTAAAGCGCAGACAGGAACAGTGGACTCTCTTGTGATAACCAAGTGCTCACACAGAGGTCTTTTAAAAATATGCTTCATATTGGACTGACTCTTACTGCCATTTTTGGCAAAATTCTAGAGGCTGACTTTCAAGTTTTTAGTTTTCTTTCATGGAGAGAAAAATGGAGAGGAAGTAGGGATGGGGTGACAGAGGCAAGCAGCCTGAGAGTGGATGGGTTTTTTTTGGAATGAGGCTCTTTGACAACCCATGACACCTTCCAGTCTCCTTTTCCTTCTCCTCTTCTGCTCCCTCCCTGCCATACATCATTGCAAATCAAGATGTCCCCTCCCCACAGAACACCCTCCCAAGGTGAGTTAACTCATTGTTAGAAATTAACCCTTAGGTGGGGCGCCTGGTGTCTCAGTGGGAAGTTCAACTCTTGATCTCAGGGGGTTGTGAGTTGGAGGTTCATGTGGGGTACAGAGATTACTTAAATAACAATAAAACATAAAAAGAAATTAACCCTTAGGAAGGACTTACAGACAAATTGCTAGAATCACGAATGGGAGTGAGAGGTGCCATTTGGGATGTGGTAGCAGCAGAGGAGAGCCCCAATAGGGGTGTGGGAAGGCACCAAACCAAACCCTTCAACCTGACACTTGCCCAGGACAACCCTGGCCACAGCATCACAATACACATGGCGGCAAGCTATACTGACACACTGTTCTCGAGCTCTGCTACACATCAGAATCACCTAATGTCCAGGCTGTACCTGAAGCCAATGAAATGAGAATCCCTGGGGGGAGGGCCCCAGCCATAAACTGTTTTGTTGTTGTTGTTGTTGCTGCTGTTGTTTCAACTCCCCAGGTGACTCCTGTGCATAACCAACTTTGAAAGCCAGTGTCAGTAAATAAGGCTTTTCTTTTTTTTTAAAGATTTTATTTATTTATTTGCCAGAGAGAGAGAGAGAGAGAGAGCGCGCGCGCGAGAGAGAACAGGCAGGGCCGTGTGGCAGCAGAGGCAGAGGGAGAAGCAGGCTCCCTGCCGAGCAAGGAGCCCAATGTGGGACTCGATCCCAGGACGCTGGGATCATGACCTGAGCCAAAGGCAGCTGCTTAACCAACTGAGCCACCCAGGCATCCCAAATAAGGCTTTTCGAATGTTCCATGCCTAACAACAACCTGAGAATCTGGGAAGTGCAGACTGGGATGCAGTTGGTCTGGGGTAGGGTCCGAGATGAGATTCTGCTGGGAGGCCCATGCTGCTGATCCTAGCCAGTTCTGGTAGGACCATATATGATCTAGCTCTGGAGAGTGCCCATGTAGGTGCAGAGCTCCTGGGGAGGGCTTGGAAATTGGGCTGCCCTACACTATGGCCGCACAATGTTTTCCCAAGGTGGTGTAATGTTCCCACTGGGCTCTACGACAATTAATTCTGTTATCCCAGGCCTGTCATCTAGCTGCTTCTCTGAGATGCATGCAGAGGCTGCAGGATTCTGCGGAAATCCTGTGTGTGTGTGTGTGTGTGTGTGTGTGAGGGAGGGGTCAGCTCATCCTTTTTCTCTCCCACTCTAAGAAATGCGGGGAGTTCCTGGTCACACTTAGCGAGCTCTTAAAGAAATGCAAGGCTCAGTTCTGAAAATGGAATATAGTAATTTAGAAGAAGTTCGCTCTCTCACGCGTGGATCAGCGTACTGGGGTGCCGGGGACAACTCAGCTGCAAGTTGGCACTTCCTAACATCCTTTAAGATACAGAGTTCTTGGGAGTGACATAACTTTACAAATTGAAGTCCACAGTTCACATTACGTGTACTTTGCATGCTCACATTTGAAAGTTCTTTACTGCCCTTTTTCTGCACACAGCCCTTAATTTCTATGTGTGAAGATGAAAAATGATGATACAAGCTATGCTTATTTTATCTAGTCACCAAACTGAACTGATTTTTAGTTGATTCTTTAGTTATCTGAACGTTGATCTTTGTAAAAATCAACCAAGACTATCCACGGGTCAAGTTCCAACAGGCCGAGACAAAATAAGCAGGAGGTAATCTACGTTCAATTCAATGTTTTCCACAATATGAATTTGGCAGAAGGCTCTTTTCTCAAATATCATGACCTGCATCCCACTACATGTGTTTAGTGATTCTGTCTGGCTTTATCCAAAACGATCTGCAAAGTCTGATTAACACCACCCCTGATACTAAGTATACACCTTGTACAGTGAACATTAATTCAAGCACAAGAAAATGGAGGGTTCTGATGGAAAACAGAGCTTGTTAGCTGGCATGCAGTCGGACAGACCTAGATGTGCCTTTTCTGAACAAGAAACTTGGCTTCAGGTAGATGTGAGCTTGAGTCAAAGCTCAAAGACCTGACCTCAGAGAACAGAGCCTCAAAGGGGTCATGGCGGATGGTGGTGGAGGGTGCCCCGCACTGCAAGGGCCTCTGGCTGCTAGGGGTAGTTTTGATGTTAGCTTTCATTTCCACCTTCCATGCATTCTCCCTAGATTGCAAATCGGAAAACAATCCTTGGGCACTTAACAAATCGGTGGACTTTTAGAAACAGTTCTGAAGTTCTTAGGCTAATGCTTTGCTCAAGACCATTTAAAAACGATTAATTATTTAATCCCCATAACCTCCCTGTGTGATAGTTCCACACGCTCATCCCCACTTTAAGTACCGAGACATAAGAGACAGGGGTAAATGGTTCCGCCTCACGTTACACACAGCGCAACGCTCGCAGCACCCGCCCTCGGCCGCGTTCCTGGTTCTGCCGGCCCCGGTGCACAGAGCAGCCCCCAGCTCCCGCCGTGAGCCCCGCGCAGAGTGGGGGGACCTCGGCGCTAGGCAAGGGCTAAGCTGATCGGTGCAAACGCAGAGGTGCTGGCTCAAGCCTCGGTCGAGTAACAGCGAGAACCCAGTGAGAACACAGGGGGCCAAACTCTCAGCAGCACCTGCGTGCGTTTTTACAGAGCGGAAAAGCTCAGACTCGCAAACCGCAAACAACTCTTTATTTCAGAAGTACGAGCAGTTAAGAAGGTTTCCAAGACCTGCATTGACCCTAGCTCCCAGAGTGAGGGGACCGCACCCCTCAGCAGGACCAAAGTCTCTTCCTGACCGACGAGCCTAAGAACCAGAGCAGCCGGTGCGCCCAGCACCACACGGCCGCGCGGCCGAGCTCACTAACCCCGGGGCTGCACCCTCGTCCGGAGAGACGCGCGCCCACCCGGCGCACCGACCGCAGCCTGGCTGGAGCATCCCGGGCCAAGGGCCAGAGCCGCGGGCAGGAGAGCGGGAGAAACGCACCGGGCAGTTCAGCTTCGCCCTCCCCAGCGCTCCCTCCACGCCCCTCCCCTCCCGCCGGCGTCCCGGGCCCGCAGCGTCCCGCCGCCACCTGCCCCGGCCGGCCCTTCCCCGGTCCCCAGCGCCCCGAGCCGCCTTACCTGAGCCGGAGATGTGGACCCGGAGCGGGCGGCCCCTGCTGGAGCACGACGACAGGTCGCTCTGGGAGCGGCCGCGGGGGCTCGGGTCCCCGGGCAGCCTGCGCAGGGCCGTCGCCGGCTGCGGGGCGGGCTCCTGGGACTCGGGGGCCTCGGCCGCTGCCGGCCCGCCGGGCCCGCCCAGGGGCTCCACCGAGCGTCTGCCCGCCTCGGCCATCGGCTTCAGGCGGCGGCCGGCCCGGAGCGCGGGGTGGGGCCGGCGCCGAGGGCTGCGCTGCGGGGCGCGGCGACCCCGAGGCAGCGCCAAGGGCGGGGAGCCTGGACTCTGGGCGCCGAGAAGCTCGTGGGGCGGGCGGGAGGAGGAAGAGGACAGAAAAGTTTGCACAGGAAGGAGCCGCCTACGGCCCGCTCTCGCTCCGGCGGGCGAAAGCCGCAGGGCTCGGAGCTGGGCCGCCCTCGGTGCCCGCGAACCTACCAGGCTGCTCCTCCCCCCCAGCCCAAGCACTGCCCTTTGCTAGAAGATGGCTGTGGGGTCCCCTCTGGCCGCGCGCTGGTCACCCAGCAAGCGGACCTCAGAGAAGTGGCGTTTGGGCTTCAGGAGCCGGGATGCAAGGTCAGGGTTAATGCGGGTTCCATTTAAGGCGGGGGCGGGGGGAGGGGGAATGCCAGGTACACACACTGGAGTCGCCTTGTGATGGCACAGAAATGGCCATTCCGAGTTGACAGGAAGCTGAGGGGCCCCGGGACGCTGGACTTGCAGGTGGGTTAGTGGAAGATCCTGGAGTCCCTTAAGTGAAGTTCAGTGCCTTTCTCTTCTCACTGCAGCCCTTAAAGCCTTCTCCACCCTGACCCTTGGCCACACTCTTGGGTTTCTGTTTGCTGCGTAAACTCAAAGGTCATGTTTAAAAGGTCAGCCTCCTGAGAACTGAATGAAGAACAGATTTGATAACTGAGTCTATGCTTCCTAATGGAAAGACCGATCTCCTGGCCGCTGTGGATTGGAAATATCTGAGGTGATACCGTGCCTTGTAGGATTTTGCCAACTGGGCAGCGGAATTTTTGCTGATTTGGCTGGGTATTGCACAAACTAAGCTTTATCATCACCTTAGGTCCCCAAGCTGTGACTTGCCCAGAAGGGAAAGTTTGTAAATCAGGCTCAAGAGTCACCTGAAGAGTCATTCCTTAAAACTTATGGCAAAAGAAGAATGCCCCTGGGTTTGGTCAGGGGCCAAAGATAGGCAACAGGAAGAGGAGACTGTGGGGAGGAGGAGTGAGGGTTAGCAGCGTGCACTCAGTGACACACATGCCATGCCCATATTTCAGGTGCTATGTCAGACGCTTTGCCCATATTTTATCCTTTAATAAGAAGACCAACCCAAACAAGAGAAGTTAAGAGAAAGGAGGGACAGAAATGAGGGGTGCAAGCTACAGAGGTAGGTTACCACCCAGAAAGGCCTTTGTAAACTAGCCCATGATAATAGCTACAGCTCACCCTTAATAATTTAAAATGTCTTTCACCTACAATTTTCACAGCAACTCTGCAGGGACGGTATGCTTATTCTAGCTTTGCTGTGAAAACCGTCCAAACACAGGCCTGTTTCCACCCAGTAAGCCACGCTTGCTGGGCCTGCTCTAAATACTTCCTTCTTTCCCACTTCTTCAAATCTCACTCCCCCAAATGAGACCTGACTTGTTGGGAAGTGGAGGACAGAAAAAAAGATGTCTCTGCTTCTGAACGCTGACTTGCATCGTTCTAGTAGCCTGGGCAACTAGATGGGTTTTTCACTCTCCCCGAATACTCAGCGTAAGACAACAGTGGCACATTGTAATCTGCTATCCTGCTATCCTGGGTATTGTATCTTACTGCCTCCAGCTGCTTTCTCAGCAGTGAGCCCCCCTCACAAGCTGTCTGCTCTCCGGGGCACACATCCCTGCACTTGGACCTCACCCTGCATGGCTCACAGCATGAAGTCTCCCACCATCCCTTCGGGGACCCCTGCTTCTGCCTTCTCTGCTTTATCCTCTCTGTCATCTCCTGTAAACAGAAGTAAATGAGTACTTAAACACTTCGGAGCACAGACGTCTTCCCTGGTGTATTATTCAGTTATTCCGCAATTTGTCATTTCAACTGCTCTTCAGTAAATACATAAATGAGTACCTTTGTGGGTCAGGCACTGTGCGAGGCACTCTGTGCCTTCAAAGAGCCTCTCAACCCTATTTTCCTCCGTTCATTTTCCCCTCACAGTCCAGCTTCTAGAGAGAGTAGCATCTGCTTGCTAGTGCCATGTTCTTCGGCATCTACCCCTTTACTCTCGTGTGTGACTTCTGTCCCCACTACCAGACGAGTGGGACCGCTTGGGCCATGAGGCCTCTTGAGCACCTAGTTGTCAAATGCACTGGAACCTCTTGGGTCTGACTTCATCCAACCCCCCCTGCAGCTTTTGACACTCTTGACCACTGTTCCCTTTCTGGACTCTTCTTTATTTATTTATTGGAGAGAGAGAGAGGAGAGTGTCGGGGGTGGGGAGCAGAGGGAGAGAAGGAATCCCAAGCAGACTCTATGCTGAGCATGGAGCCTGACCCAGCTGGACCTCAGTACTCCGAGATCATGACCTGAGCAGAAAAGAAACCAAGAGTTGGGTGCTCAACCGACTGAGCCTGCCAGGTGCCCCTCCCTGAAGACATTTCTTGAAGACAATACAATCGGCTTGTGGCTTGGATTGCTTTTTTTTTTTTTTTTAAGATTTTTTATTTATTTATTTTATTTTATTTTATTTATTTATTTATTTATTTATTTAATTTCATTTATTCTAGAGAGCAAGCGAGAGAATAAGTGAACACAAGCAAGGGAGGGGCAGAGGGAGAGAGAAAGTATTTCAAGCAGACTCTTGACCTGCTAGGAACCTACTTGGGGCTCAACCTTATGACTCTGAGACATAACCTGAGCCAAAATCCATAGTTGGAAACTCAACCCACTGAGCCACCCAGTGCCCTGGATTACTTTTTTTTTTTTTTTTTAAGATGTTTATTTATTTATTTGACAGGAAAAGAGAGGGAGAGAGAGAGAGAGCACGAGTGCACAGACAGGGGAAGTGGGAGAGGGAGAAGCAGCCTCCCTTGTGACTCAGAGCTTGGTCTCAAGATTCTGGGATCATAACCTGAGCCGAAGGCAGATGCTTAACCAACTAAGCCACCCAGGCACCCCTCCCTGGATTACTTTTATAATTGTAATTCTATTGTGCTGTCTTCCCCTGCTCCCCACATATGTACAAATTTCCATTTATGAGACTTTCTATATAAAGCTCGAACATAACAATATGTTTCTGAGAAAATATCCTTCCCAAATACATTGAATCAGAAAATGAGTGTCTTTTACAAACAATATTGTTTCCTTAATACAAGTAGATAAAATCGGCATGAGTGAAGGAAGGGGGGATCAAAGTAATATCTGAAAAGAAGTGTCATCTATCAAAATGGATGATACACGATCAAAATGAAATAATGGAAAAGCAAGGAATCTAGGTAATAAACACAGCTTGGTAACAACAACAAAAACAAAATGAAGATAAAGGGACATAGTATGTGAACATAGGCCTGCATTTAAGGTCGCACTAAAAAAGAAAAAGAAGAAAGAGGAAATTAATTTTGATGATCTTTAGGGTTTCTTCTGTCTGAGACTTGATGGTTCTAAGAGAATTTTTATTTGTATTTGTTTTAAGTTGAAGATGAGAGAGAGGCCAAAGCTGATGTATAGATTTGAGTCCAAACTACCATTTCTCTGTGTGGTACTAGGCTACAAAAGTAAGCATCTTCCTTCTTTTTTCCCTCCCCCCTTTTCCTCCCCTTTCTTCCTTTCTTGTGCTTGACATTAAACAGCTACTCTGTCCTACTCTCCAGGCTCTGACCTAGGCACAGAGGAAAAGGAATCTCTCCAATCTCAGACTAACAGCCAAGGAGACAAGGGCATACCAATTACAGGTAAGACAAAGGAGACAATCATTGACCCTCTTGTATGACTCAGGAAAAACTTCAAGTGAGAGAACACAAGAAGGAGGTCGTAAAAAACAGAGTGGGAGTGAAAAGAAGAAAGGGGCAGGGAAAGCATGGCAGGCAGGGAGAGTACCATGTGCAGAGGGCCTCAGATTAAGCAACAGTAGAGAGACATAGGGGGACATGAGTTTGGTTGGGCCTTGGAGGAGAGTGGGGAAATGGTGGGATATCAAACAGAGAGGGTCATCAAAGGATTTAAGCAATGTTGCAACATGATCAGAGTCATTATCTTTTGTTTCAATTTTGATACCTAAATTTGATACCTAAATGATACACATACTCAATTGGCTGAGTCGTTTTAAGGATTTGAAATAATGTACATAAAGTGCTGAGTATAAAGATTGGCATAAACAGGTACTAGAAACTCAATACAATGCTCTAAGACAAATGGTCTATACATTCTATTTCTTTATTTTTACAAGTCACACCCAGCTCAGCCCCATCTACAAAGGTGGCCCCAAAGACATTTTCTAGGATTCCTTCCTTCTCTTAGAATCAAACAAGAACTTTAATACTTACGGCTTTAAGAATGTAGGAATTGACTATCCTGTGGTTGCTAAGGTCAGCTGTAAGTTCCTTCACCTAGACTTCCAGGCATCAGCATGCAGTGCCCATGGCACTGAGGCAACCCAGAAGTCACCTCTTCCTTGTCTTGACTCGCCAGAGACTGTCTGTTAGAGGGGGTGCTACGGTACCCATCCCTCAGATATCAAAAGTCTCACCTCCATACCCAGTTGTGGTTGGAGGTATCCCACACACCGGGGGATTGGATCCTCCTCAACTTAACCCTCAAAACACTAAAATCTGTTTGTTGGTGGAAATGCAATATGGCATAGCCACTTTGGAAACTGATTTGGCAGTTTCTTAGAAGAAGTATACATTTCTTGAAATGTATACTTATTCTGTGACTCAACAATTTCATTGGTAAGTTATCCAGGGAAATGAAAATTCATGTTCATGTAAAAATCGGAAAGCAAGTGTTTACACCAGCTTTATGCACAGTCTCCAAAAACTGAAAACAACCCAAATAAGTACATCCGTACAATGGAACACTATTCAGCAATATAAAGGTATGAACTACCGATACATATAACATACATACAACATGCAGGAATCTCAAAAGCATCACAGCAAGTAAAAGAAGCCAGACCCCAGTGAATTCATGGAGAATTATTCCACTTCAGTGACATTCTGGAAAAGGTAAAACTATAGGGACAGAAAAAAGAGCGGCAGTTGCTAGATGCTGGGCATAGGGATAGGGGATGATTTCTTGGCTAATAGAACTGTTCTACGTCTTGATTTTAATGGTGATTGCACAGCTGTATTTGTCAAAAGTAATAGAATAATATGCCAAAAAGAGAAAAGTCTACTGTGATTAAATTATACCTCAGGGAAAAAAGGAAAGGAAAAAAAAGTCCCCCACCATGTTGTCT